GAAGGTATACCCAAGTGCGCTTCAGCCCAGCTCAATACGGAAATCAGGTGCTCGACTGAGGGACTTGTAAATCCCCAAAACATTCCTTACTCCAGGATACTTCAACTGGTGACTATCCGGGAGAATAAAGAAAAAGGAGCACTGTTGCCGGGACAAACAAACAATAGACTTACGTTTCGGCCTTCATCAGAGCCTTGATAGAGTGTTCCTTTTTATTTATTCTCCCGGATAGTCACCAGTTGAAGTATCTTGAAGTAAGGAATGTTTACATTATGTTTACATATACTGCTGTATACGGTCAGTATTTTTAAGATAGAGATCTTCTACTGCAATAGAACAGTCCACATCAATGGGTTTACAGTAAGTAAATAATGCAGCACTCAAAGCATAGTGCCCCTTAGGTCAATAATGGAGAACACTTTATTTCAAGGGTCTGGAATAAACGATTTATAAGGCGTTCATAAATTATGTTGACCATTTATTAATCATTACTCCCACATTTATAAACCATTTACGAATCATTCATGTATTTTTGCAGTCCCTAATCTAAAGTCAGCGCTATTTATTCTTTATAAATACTTTATAAATGTTTTATTTATTTTCATTTCTGCACAACCTTGTAAAAAAACAAAAAAAGCACACATCACAGGATGTTTAAATAAATATATATACATGTGTGAATAACTAGCTTACTAACATTTGCAAATGTGGGAGTAATGATAAATATATGGTTTGTAAAAGCATTATAAATGGTTTATTAAGGACCCTTAAAATAAAGAATTACCATATATGTTTCATTTTGACATGTAATAGACCTACTAATGTTGGACTACGTATTTTAATAAGTATACTGTTACATCTAAAAAGGACCCATTTGTTGTAAGAAAAGAATGTCATTAGCATGCTTTGATTAGCATCAATAGCTTACAAGTCTCAACTCAGCCATTATGTACTGTATCATCACCATGCCTTTGAGGCTAGCCTTATTAAAATCATACTAATCAAATACTCTGGATAAAATTTGCCAAGGAAATGGCTAGTTTAAAGCTACTGATGCCGTAGTCCTTCTCCCCATCGTCTATACAAAGCCTGACAAGCCCAGTGAGACTAAATAAAAGCACACGTCAAATGAACTGAAATCAGAACACAGAATGTAAACCCACAGTGTACTATACCTGTGCCTTCGGTATATCAAGATGCAGTCACTGCAGAAGGACATTCAATTTACCGTAATGTAAAGAATAGCTGTGTGCATTAATTCTCCTTTAATGTTCAGCTTTTTTTTTTTTTTATAATCGAAACTGTGCGTAATTCAAACTGATATACATTTTGCATTTGTGTCAATGGAGTATTTGTGTGAGAGGTTGATTTATGTGTGCAGCTCTGTGAAAGAGGTAATGTGTCTCAATCCATAGCTGGGAAGGGACCTCTACTGTTTCTGCAAGAATAGCTCAGTATCATTTTTTATTCAATAATTTCTTGCTGGTATTGCTTGGCCAATTTAAGTCTTTCTAGTTACCTAATTAATCATTGCTGGCCTAACTGTTAATTGCTCATCTCTTGTGCTGTGGTTTCTGTTGACAGTCTGACTCATCAGTGCCTGTATTGGAGGCGGAGGTGTTTCACCTCTCCTAGGCAATCAGCAATTAGTGTTAATACTTCAGTCTCCCCTGTTTTTTCAGCAGCAGCTGTAAGCAGCGGTCTTGTCAAGCGGTGGTCTTGTTGCCAAAACAAAGACTGTTGCCGAAACAAAGATAGTTCTGCCGACTTGTTCTAGAGTTATTGGAGGAAGGAAAGAGTCGAAGGCTCTACACCACTCTCTCATTTGAGTATCTTACCTAGTTATTTTCAGATCTCATTTTGCTATTTTCTAGCTTTGTCAACTATAAATGTGTTTTCTATACCTGTTCGCTCCTCTCCCTGTAGGCTTTACAGACGCTCCCCACCCCTTGGCTGCAACCCTTCTAATGTAGTGTACCCTGCGCGCATAACCCATGTGGAAGTCCTGATCTCCTGCAGCGTTTGGAACTGCAGATCTGTGGTCAAGAACGGCGAGTTCATCTCAGCCTATGCTGCCCTTCAGTCCCTAGACTTTTTGTCCCCGACGGTGACATGGTTCACCCCAGAGAACACTGCTACTCCAGCTGCTCTCTCTTCATCTGACTATGTTCTCTCATAGTCCAAGAACATCTGGTATTTGTATTTGGTCGTGGTGGTGGTGGCAGACAATCTCTGGAGACCTTCTCACTTCCCTCATCAATGTATCCCTCACCACTGGCTGCGTCCCCTCTGACTTCAAGAAGACCAGAGTCGCTCTCCTCCTGAAGAAACCAACACTCCACCCCTCTGACGTAAAGAACGACTGACCAGTATCCCTTTCTTTTGTTCCCAAAACACTGCTGCTGTCTCTGACCAACTCTCTTGTTATCTCTCTCAGAACAATCTTCTTGAAACAAACCAGTCAGGCTTCAAGACAGCTCACTCAACTGTGACCGCTCTCCTCTGTGTAACGGAGGCTCTCCGCTCTGCCAAAGCTGACTCTCTGTTCTCATTCTGCTAGATCTATTCGCTGCCTTCAACACCATGAACCATCAGATCCTCCGCTCCACCCTCCCAGGGCTGGGCGTCTCAGGCTCTGCACAATCCTGGTTTGTATCCTACCTGGCAGGTCGCTCCTATCAAGTCACTTGGCTCCGTCATATCCTCACATGGTTTCTTCCATCATTGCTATGTGGATGACACTCAACTACTTTTCTCTTTCCCCCCATCCTGACACCCAGGTTGCGACATGCATCTCTGTGTGCCTGGCAGACATCTCAGCCCACTGCTACAGGGGGTCAGTTCCCGCTCAGCCCAGTTAAAGCTCTTCTATGTCCTGTCACCCCAATGGTGGAACAAGCTTCCCCACCCCTAATGTCAGGACAATGGGAGTCCCTGCCCATCTTCTGAAAACGTCTGAAACCCTACCTTTTCAAAGAGTTTATTAAATAAATCCATCCCCCCCACCTCACTGTGGATATGTACTGATATGCTTTCTGACACATCAGAATTCCTACTTTTCAGCCCACTACTATAGCCCTTACATAACTAGCTTGCCAACTTCTAACTCGTATGTGCTTGTTCCTGGTGGAGTTGCTCTCGCTGCTGAAGCACAGTGTAGGTGTTTGGGCTGAAGCTCAGTAAGTAGACAGCAGGGGAGCCCACCTCTGAGGCCAGACCAACACTGCTTTAACACAGTTCATTTCAGATGAAAAGTCCCATCTCCTCCTCTCTGCATATATTTCTCTGTACCTCCCTCCACCTGCTCAGTAGACTGTTGTGTTGATTTAGTGGGTAAACAGGGTTTGGTAGGACAAACCCACAGTCAATAAAAAGGAACAGGACTGGGGATCCATACTAAGGTCTGGAGTTTATTTGGGGATAATAGACATGCTTTTATAATCGGGCTGAAAACAGACTGACAGTATGTTGTTGTTTTACAATTGTTACAAGGTTTCACTTTTGAAAAGCACTGCTCTGCCTCAGGCCTAGCAGTTTCTAACATTAGTTGTCATTCTTAGACACTCTAATCATGTCAATAGTAATAAAAACAGAACTTGACGTTATACAATGAATATTCACCGGTAGTATGTGTTTACACAGGACCCATATCTATCAGATAAGTGTGTAGTTGGTCTATAATGTTACCCCTTGCTGAGACACTTGCTCTGCTGTTAAGCTCAACAAGCCAGTGGACTCTCTCTCCCAGTGGAAGAAACAGTGGAGTATTTGGAAACCAATTGATGTCATCAGCTGCAGCGTTCCTGTAGCAGCCAGTGTCCTCTCTATGTCTCCTGGGATTTTTATACACCCTGAGCTCAATTAGACAGACAAACCCCCTGAGGCCCAGCAGGCTGAGGCATGACCAATTAGCTTTGCCAGCCATGTCAGAACTTCTTTGAACTGCTGTGTTGGCCGCCTGTTGCATAACCACTGATCGGGGGTGACGGTGCTGCAGTGGCGAAGCTTCCGCATTGTGACCTATTTTCAAACCAAACCTTGAGAGCTGGAAAAAAAAGCGGAAGATTTAGCAGAAATCCTTGAGCTATAAACCAGTATCCACTGGCCAAGCCTCTGGATACTACTTAAGTTGTTAGCTGGTAGTCTAAGGGGTTCATATATGATTTCACAAACTGATTTGAGTCATATGATACAAAATAGAAGTACATATTCAATAAGCATTTAGCACTTGTGATGAGCGACAATGCACAGTACAATATTTCTTAAACACTCTCAACTCAATGGTCAATGGAGTGGTATCAACCCCTTGGAAACCACGTCTTTGATGTGCTTGACACCATTCCATTTACTCCATTCCAGCCATTATTATGAGCCATCCTCCCCTCAGCAGCCTCCACTGGCAGGGAGTATCAGGAAGTATACATGGAGTGTACCAAACATTAGGAACACCTTTTTGCCCTCAGAACAGCCTCAATTCGTTGGGGCATGGACTCTACAAGGTGTCGAAAGCATTCCACAGCGATGCTGGCCCATGTTGACTCCAATGCTTCCCACAGTTGTGTCAAGTTGGCTGGATGTCCTTTAGGTGGTGGACCATTCTTGATACACACGGGAAACAGAGCAGCGTTGCAGTTCTTGACACAAACCGGTGCGCCTGGCACCTACTACCATACCCCGTTCAAAGGCACTTAAACACTTTTCACCAAATGAATGGCACACATACACAATCCATGTCTCAAATGTCTCAAGGCTAAACATACTTATTTAACCTGTCTCCTCCCCTTTATATACACTGATTGAAGTTGATTTAACAAGTTACATCAATAAGGGATCATAGCTTTCACCTGGATTCACCTGCACAGTCTGTCATGGAAAGGTGTTCTTAATGTTTTGTACACTCAGTGTATTTTATCCATTTAAATCCATTTAAGATCCCTTGGAAAAGGATATTCTGTATGAATGTGCTCTGGTGTTGACTTCAACCTTTCTTCTCCACAGGTAAAGGCCCAGAGACACTGTTAGCAGGACAGAAGCTGAACGACAATGAGTGGCACTCAGTGAAGGTGGTGCGTCGTGGGAAGAACCTGCAGCTCTCTGTGGACAACGTGACTGTGGAAGGTAAGATGGTAGAGCAGAGTCAAACCATGAGATGAAGGGAAACTGTGATCATCATGGTACACTACATCTCTGCCCATCAACATGAATTTATTCCACCCCAGGCCATATGACCGGTGCCCATACTCGCCTGGAGTTCCACAACATTGAGACGGGCATCATGACCGAGCGCCGTTTTATCTCCGTGGTGCCATCTAACTTCATAGGGCACCTGCAGGCCCTCTCATTCAATGGCGTGCCCTACCTGGACCAGTGTAAGAACGGAGACATCTCCTACTGCGAGCTCAACGCCCGCTTCGGCATGCGCCACATCGTGGCTGACCCTGTGACCTTCCACAGTCGGGCTAGCTGCCTGGCCTTCTCCACCCTGCAGGCCTATGCCTCCATGCACCTCTTCTTTCAGTTCAAGACCACCAGCCTCGATGGCCTGCTGCTCTTCAGCTCTGGAGACGGCAGTGACTTCATCGTTGTGGAGCTGGTCAAAGGGTGAGTGGTGTGGTGGGGGTTAGGAAGGGGTGAAGCTCCACCTAGCTATTCAATTGACTTGGGTAATTGGTTGGAGGTTGTTTTTAGACCAGAAGAAGCCATTATTTGTAAATGTTGTATAATTTGTCTACATGCAGACCTCCCTTGCAAAATGAGGCCTTGGTCTCAATATAATTTCCCTGTTAAAAAAGAAAGAAAAAAATGTGTTCAACCTATTTTGCAACCTATTTTTCCAGATACTGTAACCATGCAGAGGGTGTGGGATGAATGAATAATAACACAGCTCACTGTTCCTCGTTTTTCTAGCTCAACAAGTTATTTCGTGTTACACGGAATCATTTTATTCTGTCAGCTGGAGCCATATAAAGGGAATGTTTCAGAATGTTTTGTTCACTGAAAATGATTTTGTAAAAAGAGAAGGATAGAATGAGTAAGAGTGAGAGAGAAAACAATAATGGCCACAGATGTTTAACCGCAGTCCAGGTTTGCCCAGAAATACTGTCGCTCAGTAAGCAATTAGTCAGCAGGAGTTGTCCATAACTGTGGAGCCTGCAGCAGCAACACACATCACTCTGGATCCATGGGCTAGAGAGAGAACTCAGTCATAGCACTCTCAGTACGGCTAGTACTTCACTTTCTATGAAGGCACCTACACATTCTCTGATGAAGTTTGTATGAATATTATCGATTTACAGTATTTCAAGAAAACAGGATGTTGCAAGATCGTCCCTATCCATTTAATTTCCATTAAATACATACATAGATATATATTTGTCATTCTGTAAATAGCCTACTTCATGGTGTAATGCTGTGTTGTAGGTACATTCATTACGTGTTTGACCTGGGGAACGGGCCGTCACTCATGAAGGGCAACTCTGAGAAGCCTCTCAACGACAACCAGTGGCACGATGTGGTGGTCTCCCGGGACGACAATAACGTGCACATCCTCAAAATCGACTCCCACACCGTCACCCAGCACTCCAACGGAGCCCGCAACCTGGATCTCAAAGGTATGGTATACACTACCCCTTCTCAAAACTGGCTCCAGCCACTATACGTTTATGCAGGTAATATACCAGGGCTATTCAACTGTATTCTTACGGGGGCCAGATTTGAAAAAGGTTATTTACAGGGCGGCCAGACATTTTATCATAGGTACACTTCAACTGTGAGAGACGGAATCTAAACCAAAAATCCAGAAAATCACATTGTATGATTTTTAAGTAATTAATTTGCATTTTATTGCATGACATAAGTATTTGATCACCTACCAACCAGTAAGAATTCCGGCTCTCACAGACCTGTTAGTTTTTCTTTAAGAAGCCCTCCTGTTCTCCACTCATTACCTGTATTAACTGCACCTGTTTGAACTCGTTACCTGTATAAAAGACACCTGTCCACACACTCAATCAAACAGACTCCAACCTCTCCACAATGGCCAAGACCAGGGAGCTGTGTAAGGACATCAGGGATAAAATTGTAGACCTGCACAAGGCTGGGATGGGCTACAGGACAATAGGCAAGCAGCTTGGTGAGAAGGCAACAACTGTTGGCGCAATTATTAGAAAATGGAAGAAGTTCAAGATGACGGTCAATCACCCTCGGTCTGGGGCTCCATGCAAGATCTCACCTCGTGGGGCATCAATGATCATGAGGAAGGTGAGGGATCAGCCCAGAACTACACGGCAGGACCTGGTCAATGACCTGAAGAGAGCTGGGACCACAGTCTCAAAGAAAACCATTAGTAACACACTACGCCGTCATGGATTAAAATCCTGCAGCGCACGCAAGGTCCCCCTGCTCAAGCCAGCGCATGTCCAGGCCCGTCTGAAGTTTGCCAATGACCATCTGGATTATCCAGAGGAGGAATGGGAGAAGGTCATGTGGTCTGATGAGACAAAAATAGAGCTTTTTGGTCTGAACTCCACTCGCCGTGTTTGGAGGAAGAAGAAGGATGAGTACAACCCCAAGAACACCATCCCAACCTTGAAGCATGGAGGTGGAAACATCATTCTTTGGGGATGCTTTTCTGCAAAGGGGACAGGACGACTGCACCGTATTGAGGGGAGGATGGATGGGGCCATGTATCGCGAGATCTTGGCCAACAACCTCCTTCCCTCAGTAAGAGCATTGAAGATGGGTCGTGGCTGGGTCTTCCCAGCATGACAACGACCCAAAACACACAACCAGGGCAACTAAGGAGTGGCTCCGTAAGAAGCATCTCAAGGTCCTGGAGTGGCCTAGCCAGTTTTCAGACCTGAACCCAATAGAAAATCTTTGGAGGGAGCTGAAAGTCCGTATTGCCCAGCGACAGCCCCGAAACCTGAAGGATCTGGAGAAGGTCTGTATGGAGGAGTGGGCCAAAATCCCTGCTGCAGTGTGTGCAAACCTGGTCAAGACCTACAGGAAACGTATGATCTCTGTAATTGCAAACAAAGGTTTCTGTACCAAATATTAAGTTCTGCTTTTCTGATGTGTCAAATAATTATGTCATGCAATAAAATGCAAATTAATTACTTAAAAATCATACAATGTGATTTTCTGGATTCTCTCACAGTTGAAGTGTACCTATGATAACAATTACAGACCTTTACATGCTTTGTAAGTAGGAAAACCTGCAAAATCGGCAGTGTATCAAATACTTGTATTCCCTACTGTACATAGCTTCATCTTTAGTTTTTATTTACACATAGGAAACATTTTATGCATGGGAAATCTCAGTTGACCAGCATCATTCTGTTCTATTTTCTATTTCTTTATCATTTTGTTATTTTTTCTGTCTTGTTTTGATATTTTTTTATACATACATTTTTATACAAATCTTTTATGCATATCGCAGTTGACTAGCTTTTACGGAGAAGTCTCTCTCCCCCCGCATCAGTAGAGAACGGGTCCCTATAACAAACTGCACCACCTCTGTGGAGACTTAAACTCATCAAATCCCATTGCAAAGTTAGTCTTCAGTTTATCTAAAAACTCAGACATCACGGGGGTTATCTGTACTGATGATGACTGAATATAGTTGTACAGTGTAGGGAAATTGACCGTTTTGTTTGGCCTCAATTTAGAGGAGAAAATAACACATTTATTTTGAAAATACATCCGTTTTTAAATCATGTCAATAACTGTTTTATCCCTCCCCTGTAGTCCCAAATGAAGTCCATTCAATTGATTGAAGATGTCACTAAAAAACAAACTAAAAAACAAACATCTGATACGAACTCCTCATCAAGCGTTTTGGCTAGATATGTATTGGCTTTCTTGTGGCGGCAATCGCAGAGAAAAGCATCTCCTCCCTAAGCTCACATAGGCTGCCCTCTTGACAGCATTATTAACCTTGTTTAGCCACCGAACATCATGATGTAAAAGGTAGATCATGATGCTCAGCAGACTACCAAACAAGCGATGTTGCAGGCTAGATGTTGATTGGATAAAGTTTATGATAGCCATATCTGAGTCCAAGGCGCTCTCTGCTGCTGTGGTTTCCAAACTGTGGGGGGCGCGAGGGGTCGGCAAAAATGTTTTTAGGAACTCAGTCCAGCTTTCAACTTACTCTTGAAAGTTGTAATAGTAGAATACACAAGGTGCAATTTTTTAATTGGTAGGGTGCATCATCAGTTTTCCTCTTGTCATGTCAGTCATGGCATACCTTAGAGAGCTATTTATAACTTGTCAGAAATGTCCAGATCAACTAGGCCATGTCAGCTAACTTTTTTAGATAGGTTTTTTAGCCCATAGATTTTGTTGTGACGTTTGAGTCACTCAAATATCACATGAATAGACATTAGACATGGCAAAAAGTATAGAATTGCAAAAAAAATTACTTTAAAACTGCAGAATGTTTTCTGCAGCACATAACAAAATGTGTAGAATAGCAAAATGTTCTCTCCCCCAACAAGAGGGGTGTGAACATTTTGTCATGAACAGTGCTTGTGCCCATAGAAATAGACATGGCGCGGGATGTTCCCCCAATGCTGGAAGGGGGGCCTGAGTGAAAAAGTTTGGGAAACTCTGCTCTGGTGTATCAAGCAGTGTTGTTATCTCATCTGCGTTGAAAGAGCCGATAAGCGGGCAGACAGACCCTGTACCCCTGTTAGCAGCTCTGAATCGCTGTAACTGGTATGTTGAGTAATATTGACTGACAGCACTTAATGGGGGTACATGAAAACAGATTCTCCCATTGGAGAATATTGAACGAGGGCTCCTTTTGGCACTAAACATCAGATTATAATTTTTTTTTAATGCATTTTCTGAATTGATCAAAGGGCCATTTTAAATTGATACACAGGCTCGTAAGTTAATCGTTTGGTAGACTCTCATGCCCAGGAGAGGAATGCTTTGGTTGAGATGAAAATGAAGTCTTTGTAGTGAAAAACATTCTGTTGGTCGGCTAAGTGAAATGAAATTAAAAGAGAGTTGATCAAAGAGTGTCAGCAGTGGACACAGCAGCAAAGAGCAACAGCAGCAGCATGTCCGCTGACCTTGAAAGAACCACCTCTGCGGCAAACATTGACTCACCAGCCCTCGTCATTAAACGGATCTAGTATTCCATTGTATCAAAGATATGCCTTTAGTTACATAAGTATTATAGTAGGTATTATGGCAACATACAGCCATGTTGTTGTAGCCTTGAACCACCTCTGAGCCAGACTGTTAAGTAGTTGTTATTCATTAAAGGTATTTTCGCCTCTATCATTTATCTAACTGCACCAGGCAGCATGACCTTCATGTTGCCAATCAAGTGCACACCGGCCTATTTACCCAATTATCAAGCCATCCTGGGGTATGGGCCCATGAAATTGCACCATTTTCTGTGATCCAGATCACTGGCCTTGCTTGGTACTGGAGGCAGGAACAGTAGTGTGATAGGGAAGCATTAGGTGACCTTAATGCCTGACGAAGTGCCCTTCCTGTGGGTATTTACAGATGTTGCCGACCAGTTAGCATACATGTTAGTGCTTTCTCTCACTGCAACAACAATGCAGATCAGGATGTGGCCGTTTGAAGGTCAGGACAAAGGGACATACCTGTTTCTAACACAACAGAACTTCTCTGCGATCTGTATGTTCAACAAAGGGCATTTAAAAACATAGCCATGAAACAGTTTTATTGTGAGTGTGCCTGAGGCTCTAGAGTGTTTCATCTCCTTGAAAAAAGGACATTCAGTGTATCGAAAGAACAGCTTCACAGTAATGGCTCAAGCAATTATATGTGTTATATTTGGCACCACCTGTTGGGATCAGATTTTTTTGTGAATTGTGAAAGGACTACTGCAGTCAGGAACGCTTTCGGTTGCTGTACATTGTTACTCAGGAGTATTCTCTGTAGAAATAGACTCATGGTATGAACACAAAAGTATGTTTGTTTTGAAAGGGAAGACATGGTAAGTGCAACAGTCTGTACCTCAGAGGGGATTTTGTTTTACTTTCCTTCTTGACTTGAAGTAGTGTTAGGTTGCTGGCACCCAAACAAATTGATGCCATCTACTCATGCTCTTGAGAATTTAATTCAAAAAAGTTTGATAAATTGACATTTGTTGTTACCACGCACAGTAGTGCTGAGCGATTAATGGAAATGTCTGATATTTTGGGGGTTTTAAACAACTAATTGACCGCCATCGGTTCAATTATTTGAATTCCATTACCTTCGTTTTTTTTCTGTGAGCTCGATGTGCAGTTTCTGTAGAGATAAATCAGATCAAGCCTGAACTGTGCGATGTAGTAGGGAGTTGTAGTTTCCAACAGGCCAATATTCTACATAGTTTAGCACAGAAAATGTGGTAATAAACTACAATGACCAGCATCCATTGTGCACCCGCTTAATCTTGTCCGGTCTGTGCAGAGCAGACATGGAGACTAAAGAGAAGAGAGAATCGAGAGGAATAGAAAGCAGTTGCTTCAGGAGCTTGAAAATACATGATCTAAGTGATTGATAGTTGGGATTCAGCAGTCATAAAAGTATGCCTTATTTACTTTGAAGAACTACTAAAATAGTGATTTTGTCAGACAG